AAGCCATATGATATGGTTTTGCTGTGTCTCCATCCAAATATCATCTTGAATTGTAATTCCCACAGTTTCCTTGTGTCATAGGAGGAACCCAGTTGGGGGTGATTGAATTATGGGGATGACAGGTCTTTCCTGTGCTGTTTTAATGATAGTGAATAAGCCTCATAAGATCTGATGGTTTTTAAAAGGGGAGTTTCCCTGCACAAGCTCTCTTCTCTTGTCTTCCACAATGTGAGATGTGTCTTTCACCTTCCACAGTAATTGTGAGGCCTCGTCAGCCTGTATAATTGTAAGTCCATTAAACCTCTTTCTTTGCAAATTGCCCAGTCTCGAGTGTGTCTTTATCAGCACCATGAAAATGGACTAATACAGTAAATTGGTACCAGTGGAGTGGGGCATTGCCGAAAATTCCACATTCCAAAAATGTGGAAGCGACGTTGGAACTGGGTGACAGGCAGAAGTTGGAGGGCTCAGAATAAGACAAGAAAATGTGGGAAAGTTTGGAACTTCCTAGAGACTTGCTGAATGGCTTTGACAAAAATGCTGTTAGTGATATGAACAATAACATCCAGGCTGAGGTGGTCTCAAATGGAAATGAGGGACTTGTTGGGAACTGGAGCAAAGGTGACTCTTCTTATGTTTCAGCAAAGAGACAGGTGGCATTTTGTCCTTGCCCTAGAGATTTATGGAATTTTGACCTTGAGAGAGATAATTTAGGGCATCTGGTGGAAGAAATTTCTAAGCAGCAAAGCATTCAAGAGGTGACCCCGGTGCTGTCAAAGGCATTAAGTTTTATAAGGCAAACAGAGCATAAAAGTTCAGAAAACTTGCAGCCAGACAATGTGATAGAAAAGAAAAACCCATATTCTGAAGAGAAATTCAAGCTGGCTGCAGAAATTTGCATAAATAACAAAGAGCCAAATGTTAATCCCCAAGACAATGGGGAAATTGTCTCTAGGACATGTCAGAGGTCTCCACAGAAGCCCCTGCCATCACAGATGTGGAGGCCTGGGAGGAAAAAGTGGTTTTGTGGGCCAGCCCAGGGTCCCTGTGCTGTGGTGCAGCCTAGGAACTTGGTGCCCTGCATCCCAGCTGCTCCAGTGTGGCTGAAGGAGCCAAAGTAAAGCTTGGGCTATGGCATCAGATGGTGCAACCCTCAAGCCTTGGCAGCTTCCATATGGTGGTAAGCCTGCAAGTGCACAGAAGTCAAGAATTGAGGTTTTGGAAACTCTGCCTAGATTTCAGAAGATGTATGGATGTCCAGGCAGATGTTTGCTACAGGGGCTGGGCTCTCATGGAGAACCTCTGCTAGGCCAGCATAGAAGGGAAACGTGGGGTTGGAGGCCCCACACTGAGTCTCAACTGGGGCACCTCCTAGTGGATCTGTGAGAGGAAGGCCACCAGCCTCCAGACCCCAGAATGATAGATCCACTGACATCTTGCACCATGTACCTGGAAAAGCTGCAGACACTCAATGCCAGCCTGTGAAAGCAGCCAAGAGGAAGGCTGTATCCTGCAAAACCACAAGGGCAAAGATGCCCAAGTCCATGGGAACCCACATCTTATATCAGTGTGACCTGGATGTGAGACCTGGAGTCAAAGGAGATCGTTTTGGAGCTTGAAGATTTGACTGCCCCACTGGATTTTGGGTTGCGTGTGGCCTGTAGACCCTTTGTTTTAGCTAATTTCCCCCATTTGAAATGACTGTATTTACGCAATGCCTGTACTCACATTGTATCTAGGAAGTAACTAACTTGCTTTTGATTTTACAGGCTCATAGGTGGAAGAGACTTGCCTTGTTTCAGATGAGACATTGGACTGTGGATGTTCAAGTTAATGCTGAAATGACTTAAGAGTTTGGGGGACTGTTGGGAAGGCATGACTGGTTTTGAAATGTGAGGACATGAGATTTGGAGGGGCCAGGAGTGGAATGATATGGTTTGGCTGTGTCCCCACCCAAATCTCATCTTGAATTGTAACTCCCACTGTTTCCATGTGTCCTAGGAGGAATTTATGGGGGGGGGGGTGATTTAATTGTGGGGGTGGGTCTTTCTTGCACTGTTCTTGTGATCGTGAATAATTTTCATGAGATCTGATGGTTTTATAAAGGGGAGTTTTCCTGAACAAGCTCTCTTCTCTTGTCTGCTGCCATGGGAGACCTGCCTTTCACCTTCTGCTGTGATTGTCAGGCCTCCCCAGCCATGTAGAAATGTAAGTCCATCAAACCTCTTTCTTTTGTAAATTGCCCTGTCTCAAGCATGTCTTTATCAGCAGTGTGAAAATAGACTAATACATCATATATGCTTTGGTCATTTATCATTGGTAAAACAGAGTGTCTCATGCCATAGTTTTCTCACTTTAAGCTATAGTAGTGGATTAAATAATCTTTGATGTATCTTTCAGCTATAAAATGTGATATTTTCATTTTGCTGGGCTCTGCTTCACTCTGCATATCTCACCATCCAATCATTGCCTGTCTTTTTGACACAGAAGACTGACATTTGCTCTATGTAGCTTCATGTTCAAAGAAAAAAAAGAGGGTGGTGAGGAACAGAGGGGTTGAGAGTTTCAATTTTTCTGTGATAAGCTTTTCCCAGACAGAATGAAGCCATTTCATGATTTTCTCCATGTCTATACCTGTCCAGCTCCATGCCTTTTGAAGCTGTATTTCAATTTCATAATATAATCAAATCCTTTTCTAGAAATTACCAATCTCCTATGTGTTCCATACAATTCTACACGAACAAATTTCTTAAGGGATCAAGGCTTCCATTTTTATAGAACAATAAAAACACAATAGAAGAAAATATATGCTTTTATTTTTTCTAATTTTTTGTATTACCTGCTCTTTATTACTGTTTGGTTATTGTTATTATTTTTAAGTTTATATAAAGACCTCACATTAATGATATATTTGCATTTATTGCTTTATAATAGCAAGACTGAGCTACTCACCTTTTGCTAAGGCCTTGTCAACTCTTGTTAAATTGTAAATCTCAAAGTCCTTTAAAAAAAATTCTAAGTATCTATCTTTTGTCTAAACCTGTCACTATTAGCGTCATCTCATCTCACAAATTCTGCCCCTTCCTCGTAACCCCTACTGTAACTGTCTTTGGTGAACCCGTCTCAGTATTCACACATCACTGTCATTCGTATTTCATGTTGATGACTCTGACAGTCGTTACTTCCTGTATATAAATGGAAAGAAAGAAAGAAAAAAATATCCACAACTGAACAATACCTCTCTGAAGGCTGCAGCCAATAATTGAAATCCAGTTTCATTTTCTGTTTGGTAATTTCGAATTTTGAAAAAGAGGCCTCTTTGCTGTTATCTCATGCCAGGCTGATCTGTCCAACACTGTTATTTCCCTAGTGTTTACCTGTCTGACACATTGTATAAAGCTATTCTTTGGCAAGTGTACACCTTTGCACTTGGGCCAGGATAGATAAAATTAAACTTATTACAGAGCAGCATTTATTTATTTATTTGATAGCTGTTACAAAGATAAGGCCATATCAATAATATATGAATGTGCTTTAGTTAATGAAAGTTGTTTACACAAATTGCATATTTTAATTAAGGAATAAACTTTTACATATGGAAGGCATTTTTCATATCACAAAAGAAGTCTCTGTATGGTTTCATTAGAAAGTTAATAGTGCTTTAAATTATTCTTGTCCTCAGGTCAGTTGATAAGGAAACTCAGCTACTACAAGACTCATAGAGGTTTCCTCCCACTATTGTTCCAGGTATAGCTATTTGCACAACTAAATATGTATGCTTTCAGCAAGAAGATAGATATTATGTGGATGCAAAGATAACTATAACACATGGTATATTGATGGACACTACTTTCTGACTATTTTTGAAAACATTTTTGCTGGAATGTTAAAATTAATGAGAATTGGCTTTTATGTTTGTAGTAGCTTTGCTATTTCTAGAAAGTAAAAGAATACTTAGAATCAGGAACAACATGAGAGCTTGGGATAGAATCACATATAATATATATTATTTTTAATAATAAAAGTAGAAGGCTGGGTGTGGTGTCTCATGCCTCTAATCCCAACACTTTGGGAGACTGAGGTGGGAGGATTACTTCAGGCCAGGAGTTCGAGCCCAGCTTTGGCAACCTAGTAAGTCCCTGACTGTATTAAACTTTTAAAAATTAACCAGGCATCATGATATGTGCCTGTAGTCTCAGCTACCTGGGAGGTGAAGGTGGAAGGATGACCTTATCTCTGTAGGTTGAGGCTGCAGTAAGTCCAATGGTACCACATAATCTAGCCTAGGTGACAGGGTGAGACCCTGTCAACTAATAATAACAATAGTAATAATAATAATAAAAGTAGCATTAGTATAGAGATCAATTAAATTTCGCACCCAGGAAAAGAAGTTTCAGGAGCTCCTGTAACGAAAATAGGCAGACGAGAAAAATTACAAAAAGGTTTCAAGCTTCTTTGGACAAAAGCTTTTGAGCTTGAAGTCATCTTTATTGTAATTTTCAACATATTATTTTTATTTCACTGGGGTCCTTGAATAATTTCTCAGTTAAATGTGGAATTCAAATAAACTCTTTAAAAAAGAGTTGGGTTTGATGGAATTTGCTGTGCTGCATTTGGAATCTCAAATCTGTGTTCAATGCTTCCTTGAAGAAAAGATGGCTATATTCTATGTTTTGTCATTATAGGAGACAAGTTCTCTAGATGATCTTCAACAAAGACCTGACTCTTAACAAATTTAATAAACAACTAACAGTAAGAAGAGGGTGATGTCCTACTGCATCACTTTGGTGCTCTGAGTCAAACAAAAATACTATAGGGCTTGGGATAAGGATATCTGGTTCACCGTCACTGTAAACCACAAAAAAATTTACCTTATGATCTCTGCACTTTATTTTTCACATGTATTAAGCAAGGACTATTCCATCCCTACAAAGCTCACAGATTGTTATGATAACAATCAGAAAACTGATTTCAAACTATTTGAAAGCAAAATGAGCATTTCTGAGAAATAGTCTGAAATAAGGAAAATAATATTAGCAGCAATTTAAAGAGGAAGCCAACACCACGAGTGCATTTTAAATCTTTTATAGAAAGATCTTCACAGCAGGTCATCTTTGTGATATAGTGCTATGATTAGCTCCTAAATAATCTCTTCACAAACCAAAACCGAAAAACAGAAGCTCTACATATTTCCTCAATCCCTCAATATGCTCTGTATACAGGCATGTTTTTGGTATCAAAATTTAATCACAATCTAGTGAAAACATAGGCTCTGGAAATTGTACACAAACTAAAGATACCCACCACGACAGAGAAAGTAGAACAAAACAGTACCCAAGGGACAACAGTTGGGGTAGTTGATGAATTCATCCCCCTATACATTTATTTACCATTGTTACTGTTTATTTGTAAATTAAATGTCCCGATTGATCAAGCATACAGGTCATTCAGATTTACCTCAATTGATTAGAACGTGTTTCCTGAGAAGCCAGAATTAAAAGTTAAAGACACTAAGTATCAGATGGCTTTTCACTATTCCATAGCCTGGGGAGATCAGGAAAATACCAGCATCAACTTTAAGGAAGGAGGTAAAATCAAAACCTGCCAGTTCTGGTCCATGGCATGTACAGAGTTTAAAGCAGGATGATACAGCATAAAACCTCTCATTCTTTCCACTCTACTCATTTACTTTACATATGTCTTCACAGGCTCTTTTTCAGGTTTATATCCCAATTATATTCTGAATAATTGTCCTTGAAAGATATAAGCTCTCTTTATTTTCTATGCTTTAACCAACTCATTCAGTGCTGACTGAAATTATGTTACCTGATCTTATATAATTTTTATTAGGATAAATGTATAATATGTATATGTGTATATATACATATAAAGCTTATATATTTCTGTGTGTATGTATCTATACTGAATATCATATATGACATAATATATATACTTATTTTATATGTCTTTCATTCTGTCTATATATTTACCATTATAATTGAAAGTAAATACGTGTATAGATACGAAACCAATAAATTGATAATCACATATGTATCAATTTAAAGACTTAAACATAAGACCTAACACTATAAAAACCCTAGAAGAAAATCTAGGCAAAACCATTCAGGACAAAGGCATAGGCAAGGACTTCATGACAAAAACACCAAAAGCATTGGCAACAAAAGCCAAAATAGACAAATGGGACCTAATCAAACTCCACAGCTTCTGCACAGCAAAAGAAACAGTCATTAGAGTGAATTGGCAGCCAACAGAATGGGAAAACAATTTTGCAATCTACCCATCTGACAAAGGGCTGACATCCAGAATCTACAAAGAACTAAAACAGATTTACAAGAAAAAAACAAGCCCATTCAAAAGTAGGTGAAGGATATGAACAGACACTTTACAAAAGAAGACATATGTGAGACCAACAAACATATGAGAAAATGCTCATCATAACTGGTCATTAGAGAAATGCAAATCAAAACTACATTGAGATAGCATCTCACACCAGTTAGAATGGTGATCATTAAAAATTCTGGAGACAACAGATGCTGGAAAGGATGTGGAGAAATAGGAACACTTTTACACTGTTGGTGGGAGTGTAAATTAGTTCAAACATTGTGGAAGACAGTGTGGTGATTCCTCAAGGACCTAAAAATAGAAATTCTGTTTGACCCAGCAATCCCATTATTGGGTATATATCCAAAGGATTATAAATCATTTTACTATAAAGACACATGCACACGAATGTTCATTGCAGCATTATTTACAATAGCAAAACCTGGAACCAACCCAAATGTCCATCGATGATAGACTGGACAGGGAAAATGTGGCACATATACACCATGGAATATTATGCAGCCATCAAAAACGATGAGTTTGTGTCCTTTGTAGGGACATGGATGAACCTGGAAATCATCATTCTCAGCAAACTGACACAAGAACAGAAAATCAAACACCGCATGTTCTCACTCATAGGTGTGTGTTGAACATTGAGAACACATGGACACAGGGAGGGGAGCATCACACAGTGGGGTCTGTGGGGGGAAAATAGGGGAGGGACAATGGGGGCTGGGATATTTGGGGAGAGATAGCATGGGGAGAAATGCCAGCTATAGGTGATGGGGAGGAAGGCAGCAAATCACACTGCCATGTGTGTACCTATGCAACAATCTTGCATGTTCTTCACATGTACCCCAAAACCTAAAATGCAATTTTAAATAAATAAATAAATAGTCTCAACCTATGTGGAGAGAGAATTCTCCATGGGCCTTTCAAAAAAATATATCTTACAGATACAATAGGCTTTATAAATGAAAATATACTCTGTAATTTTATCTTTTGATTTTTTTCCCTAACATTTATATTAAAAATAAGTTGCTTTTGAATAGGAAATTATTAACCCATTATCTTTGGTAAAGAAAAATATTTCTTTAATATCCCCAGCCTATAGAACTTGTTTTGTATAGGTGTATGCATATGTGTGTGTGTTTCAATATATAAATATGTATTCATTGGATTCATTGGCCCTGCTATAGACAGACATTCTCATTACAAGATATCTGTTATGTTTTCACAAAGAATTTCTCATCACCAGTTATATCCAAACCTTCTTAAATCTTCTGCCATTATATGTTCTCAGAGGACTTTTTTCCATCCCTTTCTTGCTGGTATTGAACCAAATAAGTAATGATTCTTCTCAGTGACTCATTGAAAATATAATTATTAAGCCTGATCTTCATGCCAGATAATATTCTATGTAAACATGTCCAAACTGTTGCTTCTTATTTATTTCTATGTAAGCTTCTAGAGGTTTGGAAGTGATTTGTCTCCTTTATTATCTCTGGTCTTTTGAGCACGCATTTTCCTAAAATCCTTCCTCAGACAGATTTTTGTGATTTGTCTAAGTTCATTGGCTGATTTCCTTTCACTTCTTAGAAGGTTCTTCAAAATGTTTTATAAATGAAGCAGTATTTATTATCAATGAAAACAGTGAGTTAATTGTCACATGCATTTTTTTTTTTTGGTTATTACTTTAAACATATTATTGGTTTGAATGTACTGTGTGCACATTGTAGGTAATTTGGAAAATACAGAGAAAGAAAATTTAAGCTTCCATGTAACCAGGACTAAGAAATACCAACTGTTAACATTTTTGCAAATTTTCTGATCTGTTTCAATGTCCATAATAGAATAGTCTAAGGATTCTAAAGGTGGAGGACGGCAATGGCTCTGACCAGCAGGCAACACAAAGTTAAGTGTTGCTCCTGGAGAACTTAACTGCATTCTCCTCCAGTAGTGTGTCCAGGGGTGTGAATCTTGGGGAACAAACATAGAACCACAGGTCAGCATATTTCATGACCACTTTGGGGATTTATCTAATAGGGGTATCCTAGGTAATATGGGACACTGTATTAGAAAGAGTCTAAGAGGAGTAGAAAGACAGAAATCAGAGTCTGAGGGGAGAACAGGAGCAGCCTCTTGAAGTAGAGTGAGCTTGGGAGTCAAAATCAGAGGGTCCCACCCAGAATCCTCTATAGAAACCAAAAGTGTTCCCACGTAAAAATGTTCCTGCCTTAATTAGCAGCAAACCCCAAAGAATACAAAGACAAGGCAGATGGTGAAAATGTGCTACCTGGCTTTTCTGCTTTCTTCCCCATACTCTAAAACCAGAAAGCTCTGGAGCAAAGGAATTAATGAACTAAGACCAGACCTAGTTGGGAAGTCTGGCTTAGTGATCTCTCCTTTGAATGAAAATCAGATAATAAATAATGGACTCTAATTTTCTAATCAACAATATATAAATTAAAATTTAGTTTTTTATTACTTATGAGTGACAAGAAAAAAATAGGGGGGTCCTGTCTTTCTTTCAGTGTTTTTATCCAGAGGAAGTTTCTCTCTCTCAATAAATTCTGGAGTGACGGTGATGACAAAATCAATAGCTTTCCTGATTGTATGCAAAACTCAAGCTTTTGTAACATACTAGTTGCAAATACATATATCAATACTTACCTTAATTGAAAGTTAGTTATAACTATAGACATAACTTACAGGACTAAGAGTTACCATATACCTATCCAATTTTTCATCTCCGGCTATATACAAACCTTTTTAAATCTTCTGCCTTTGTATGTTCTCAGAAGACTTATTTCCATCCCTTAGTTCCTTTTGTATAAAGGTATGTTGGGTTTCTAATGAACATTATATATACATGCACATACACACACATATATATACATATATACATTTATAATTTTAAAATGTATAGCATGACATTTTATGATAATCTCTTCTTCAAATATTGGTAAAAATTTATCTACAGTCATCACATGATAGAACATAAAAATAAAAGCAATATTTGTTTTAATACCAACAATCCTTCAAATGTGGTATAAGGACAAGAAGTTATAGTTTCTGCTTGTTGTGTTAGTTATGTTCTTTAAGTTGCATGGAACTTAACATGTTCAGGATTTACCCAGTATTAACATGTTCAAGATCTACTCATTATTGACATGGAGTTTATTTTCCTGTACTTGGATCTGGAAAACAAGTGTAACTTCATAAAATGTTTTCCTTTTTATTATAAAGTTGTATCTTCTATTAGTAGTATCCTGTACCCTTAAATATAAAGCAAGTTGATGACAATTGACTTTAATGCAGGAATTCAAACCCAAGTGAAAAGGCTGTGTTTGAATTGAGTACATCACAGATTTAGAGCTACATATTGTAAAATGTTACCTGTGCCTAGGTAGCCTGATAGTCCTTAAGTGCCAGGCTCTCTAATAGGAGGTAATCAGAAACCAGTAATTGTTAGACACAAGGCAACCTGGGGACCATAACGTTGGAGCAGCCTGGGATAATACCTTATGTCCCTAGTCTTTGCCATTCTTCAATACCTAGTGAGACCAAGCTATTCTCCTCTGTACTGGTTAGGAATGAGGGTAGGCAGCTATAAACAGGGGCCTCAAAACACTCACTTAAAAACATCTGAGTATATAAAGAGAGATATCTTCATATAAGAATCTACTTTTTTTGCAATCAGAAATATGAAGGTGGGTGGATTCTGGCTTTGGGTTAGAAGATTTTTAAACATGAGAGATTGGGTTTGTACAATGGTTTTGACCTTCCACTCTCAAAAACAGCTGAAGGCACTTAAGCCTTCACACTCACATTCCAGGCAAGAGGCAAAAAAAAAAAAAAAAAAGGAAATGAGACTGGGTTGTGGGATGTGGGGTAGGCTCAGCTCCCTTATAGGATGTGTTCTTCCAGGCCCTTGGTCCCTCACTCACCCAAGAATGGGGGACAGGACCCCACTGGGCACAGTAAGCTCATATGAGTAAATATCAGACCCCAAAGAGTTTTGCAGAAAGTGATTTATTTAGGCAGAGAGAGAGAGAGAGAGAGAGAGAGAGAGAGAGAGAGAGAGAGAGAGCGCTCCCATGCTGTCATGAGAGGGGATCCAGAAATGGAGTCCGCACTATGAGAGAGAAGGGGACTTTTAACCTGGGAGTTATTCCTGCCCCATTCGTTTTTTGTCCTATGAAAGGAGTTCCTTTAAACTTCCACTGGAGTGATTGATCTTTGATCTTTTCTAAACAAAGGAAGCTCACCTGGGCAGTCTACCTTCCTGTGTGAAAGTTAAACAAAGACCTCTAAGCTCCTGGATGGAGACGTGAAAGAAGGCAGGTTGGGCGTATTGCTGGAAAGTTCTTGCCTTTGAAACCACATGCCCTGTGGACCCACGGAGAGAATACATTCCCTCGGAAGGACAAAGAATTTTCTAAGAACCCCCACCCTCCTACTGTGTTAATGTCATATTGTCCGCATACATCTTGAAAGAAAACTGGTAAACAGGACTTTTTAACTGGACAAATTGCTGCCTCCAATAATTTTGTGTGATGGTAGTGGTGGTGGTGGTGGTGGTGGTGAGGGTTCTCTTAGAAAAAAGAAGGAGAGAATGGCAATGATAAGATATTTACTATTCTTGTCCATTCAGCTAGGCCTACTGGAAGGCCCTGGTGTGGTAGCCACAACTACTCCCATAGTATGGTCTGTCGATTCCCAACTTTATTACTCTACTTGGTACAGAAAAGCACCAACCCTCATCTGGGTGTGGTGGCTCATGCCTCCCAGCAATTTGGGAGGGCAAAGTGGGTGGATCACCTGAGGTCAGGAGTTTGAGACCAGCCTGGCCAACATGGTGACACCCTATCTCAACTAAAAAATATAAAAATTAGCAGAGCCCAGTGGCAGGTGCCTGTAATCCTAACTACTCAGGAAGCTGAGGCTGGAGAATTGCTTGAACCCGGGAAGCAGAGGTTTCAGTGAGCCGAGATTGTGCCAGTGCACTCTAGCCTGAGAGAGAGAGCAAGACTTCATCTCAAGAAAAAAAAAAAAAAAGAAAGGAAAAGCACCAACTCTCCATGGCACTGCTATCCTGGAGGCTCCCATTTCTTCACTAATGGCTCAAGGAAAGGCAGGAGGCAACAACCAAGCTTGGAATTTTTTATCCATACCCTTTGCATTCACATAAATATCTCCATTAAAATGTCCACGCATTTAGGGGACAAAGTCTTTTCTTAGTTGAAAGCTCGAAATACATATGCTGATCTAATATTCTCCATTAATGACTTATAAAGTTAATAGAATAAGAAAGAGTTCAGAATTTCAGAGCACATCTTTACTGAAGTAAAATTTAGTAGCATTCAAGATCTCTTAAGCAAAGCAATAGTGTAGTGACATGCTAACTTGTCATCTTTCTGAAACCTGTGTACATTGCTCTCTATTTTAGCCAGCTCTATCTTTTCACCAATTGTGGGTGATTCAGTGCCTCTATAGTTTTTAAAAAAATTATCTCTATCTCTTTCTCCTTCATATTCTTTACAATATTTCAGCATTTTATACACTATATTCATGTTAATGTAGTATTTTATGATATGCCAACAAGCTGATATACAACATAACCTGAAATCTATAGGCAACATTTTGACTATGATTCTCTATAGAGATTCATAATTCACATTTTTACTTTAAACATTTTGAGAAGGCTTGTAGTTTGAAAAAAAGTCAATGTAATTTATCCCAGCATTTTCCATATTTGTGTTATGATGCAATCATTTTTATTGTCTGTGAAGACCATGTGAAAAGTTTCATGGAAGGCAGTTGATTTAAAGTTCATTCTACTTTAAGGTTCATGCTTATTTGTACCTTCCATTTTCATATGACATCTATACCTGTTAAATTTAATATTAATCTACTAGTTTAATTTCTTCCTGTGTATTTTAAGAGAAAAATCCAGTAAGACAGCTGCACAGCCTATCAGAGGGTTATCTTTTTGTCCATACTCCAATCAATTATTGTTTGAGTGATGGAGCTTCACATTAGAAATTACGGTAACCTATGTATTAGACATTTCTTGAGGGAGACAGCTTCACAGGGGACTTGGGGAGAGTGTTGCATTCATTCAGCGGATCATTTACACACTCTGATATTCCCAATAAATATGAGGCCACAGTTCTCATGATGCTTTCCTATGAAAAGCCAGTCAGATTTTTGAGAAGAAATTGAATGAACTGTCACAGACATTTCTCAATAAAATGAGGAGAAAAGTGTAACTGTAGTCCGCATAAAAATTACATGTAGATTTACTAAGCTTTGGGGTCCTCTTGGTTGAAATGCATTTCTGAAGGGAAAAAAATCAATATTAAACTACATTTGATATATTTCTTTGCTAAAAGCCACAACTTCCAGTATTCTAGAGAGGAATGATTTATAACTATTACATCCAACAAAATGTTCTTTTTGGCCCTGAAATCTGATAATTTGGTTTTACATGGTGACCGTGCTTCGAGAAATAAAACTCCTGTCCATCACCATTATTATTATCAAGGATAGCCTGAGAATTGCTGTAGAAAGCATAGCACATTTTCACTGGTTTACTTATGTGTGATAATTTCAGAGTTTTGGAACTGTGTTAGCTACAAAAAAAGAAAAAGTAAGACCTTAAAGCTGTTTTAGTAGAAATAAGCAGAGAACCTTGGTTTTCTATCATTGGAGCACTTTCTAGGTGTACTCTGTATAATATATTTCCTTTTGGCCTTGCAAATGTATTTTTGAATCTATTAGCCCAAGCACATTTTCACTGCCTTGCAGCTGTTTTATCAGCCTGCCTCTCTCGCCTACCAGAGCCTGATGCAGATTGCAAGTGAAAGACAGGGAATAAGAATATAGCACTCATTTTCAATTTTTAATTCCTTTTTCAGGGTGTGAGGGGTTTCTCTCTGGATAGGTTTTGTCACATGGTTGCATATGGATATCTTGAACCAAAAAGGCACTCTGTTAGACAGATATTCTACTATGAGAAATCTAGTACCTTCAAGGCCTCATACAAGAATCAGTAAGAAATCTAGAATTGGCTGCAAAATGAATGGGTAATTCTTCTTATACTACCATATACTACTATATAACAGCCTTGGTAGCCCATGCAGTGGTGAGCTGCAGCTGCCAAGAAAGATATATAATGATTTTGCTTCAGACATTGGATCTCTTTCGTATTTTTCCTAATAGGAGAATCAGTTTTAATTCATATTACAATTAGTAAGTAACTCTCCTTCAACAACAGGAGATTATAGTATCTTTCTTATTCCAGCTGAACCAAAGAACTGTCCTACCTTGGGTACAAAACCCAGAAAATTAACCCCACAGAGAATGAAGAGGTCAGTTACAAAGAGAGTAGATGTAATAGATAAGCACATGGGGATACAGCTTCTCAAGTAACTAAGTTGACTGAGAGTTGGTAGAACACGTTGAAGAGAACTGATGTATTTTAAAATATTATTGATAAAGAATCATACTTAAATAAACATTAAAAAGATCACATGAGCAAAGGTGGAAACTCTATTCAAGAATTAATGAATAGTCCAATACAGATATACCTTGTTTTATTGCACTTTATTGTACTATGTAGATACTGTGTTTTTAACATACTGAAATTGCGTGGCAATACCTCCTTGAGAAAGTCTACTAGTGCCATTTCTCTAACAGTGTATGCTTACTTCCTATTTATCACATTCTGGTAATTCTCACAATGCTTTAATTTTTTTCACTGTTATTGTATCTGTTATGATGATCTGTGATCAGTGATCTTTGATTTTACTACTGTAATTAATTTGCATTGCCACAGGCTGCACCCATATAATATGGCAAACTTAGTGTATAATCTATAAATGTTCTCTGTGTTCTGACTGCTCCACCAACCAGCCATTCTCTGTATCCCTCTCCTCAGTATACCCCTTCCCTGAGACACAATAATACTAAAATTAAGCCAAGTAATAAATCTAAAATAGACTCTAAGTGTTCAAGTAAGAGTTTCAAGGTCTCATTTAAAATCAAAAGCTAGAAATGATTAAGTGTAGTGAAGGGATGTTGAAAACTCAGATAGGCTGAAAGCTAGGCCTCTTGTTCCAAACACATAGGTAAACTGTGAATGCAAAAAAAAAAAAAAGTTATTGAAGGAAATTAAAAGTGCTACTCTATTGAACACACATAATGATAAGAAAGTGTAATCATCTCATTGCTTATATAGAGAAAGTTTTAGTGAACCGAGTAGAAGATTAAACCAACCACAACCTTCCTTTAAATGAAAGTCTAATCCAGAGCAAGGCTCTAACTCTCTTCAATACTTTGAAATCTGAGAGAAGTGAGGAAGCTTCAGAAGAAAAGTGTGAAGCTAGTAGAAGTGGGTTTATGAGGTATAAGAAAAGAAACCCATCTTCATAATATAAATTTGCAAGATGAAACAGCAAGATTTGATGTAGAATTTGAAGCAAGTTATCTAGAAGATCTGGCTAAGATGTTCAATGAAGGTGGCTAAACAAGAGTCTGTCAATGACACAAATCAACATTATGTAGGAAAAAAATGCCATGTCAGATTTTCATAGCTGGAGAGGACAACTCAATGCCTGTCTTCAAAGCTTCAGAGGGAAGACTGACCTCTTGTTAGGGGCTAATGCGGCTGGTGACTTGAAGTTTTATCCAATGGCCATTTACCATTATTTACCATTCCAAGAATCCTAGAGCCCCTAAGAATGATACTAAATATACTCTGCTTGTCTTCTCCAAGTTGAACAGCAAAGCTTGGATGACAGCTCATATGTTTTGCAGTATTGTTTACCGAATATTTTAAGCCCACTGTTGAAACCAACTGCTTAGAAAGAAAGATTTCATTCTGAATGTTAGTGTTATTGGCAGTGTACCTACTCACGCAAGAGCTCTGATGGGAATGTACAAGGAGATTAACTATTTTTTTCTTTTCATGCCTGCTAACTAAACTTCCATTTGCAGCCCATAGATCAAGGAGTCATTTCAACTTTCTAGTCTTATTATTTAAGGAATATATTCCTTAAGGATATAGCTGCCATAAATAGAATATTAAATTAAATTAATTTAAATTAAATAGTTTGAGCTTCGCCTGATGTATCTGAGCTAAGTAATTGAAAACCTCCTGGAAAAGGTTCAACATTCTAGATGCCATTAAGAACATTCATGATTCATGAGAGGTCCAAATATCAACATTAACAGGAGTTAGAAAGAAGTTAATTGCAACCCTCATAAATAGTTTGAAAAGCTCAAGTGTCAGTGGGAGAAGATTCTATAGATGTAGTGGAAATAGCAAATGAACTAGCAGTAGAGCCTGAAGATGAGGCTGAATTGCTACAATCTCATGCAGAACTTGAATGAATGAGAAGTTGTTTCTTATGGATAAGCCAAGAAAGTGTTTTTTTGAGATAAAATCTACTCCTGGTGATGTTGTGAACATTGTTGAAATGACAGTAAAATATTGAGAATATCATATAAACGTAGCTGATAAAGCAGTAGTAGAATTTGAGAGGATTGGCTCCAATTTTGAAAGAAGTTCTGTCATAGGTAAAATGGTACCAAACATTATCCCCTGCTACAGAGAATTATTTTCTGAAAGGAGGAGTTAGTTAATACAGGAAATGTCATTGTTGTCTTCAGAAATTGTCTTAACTACCCCAGCCTTCAGCAAGCACCGCACTGATCAGTCAGCAGCTGTCAGCATCAAGTCAATAATCTCAAGCAGAAAAAGAGACCATGACTGGCTTAAAGGTTCACATGATTATAGAAACTTTTTAGCAAAAAAAAATTTTAATTAAGGTATATACATTAATTTTTAGACATGACAAATATTCTACTATAAAGCATAAACAGCTTTTATGTACATTCAGAAATCAAAAAAGTTTGGCTAACTTTATTGTGATTTTCTTGCTATTGCAGTTGTCTGGAACTTAGCCTCCTCTATCTCCAAGTTATGTCTGTATTATAGAATGACATCCTGACATATAGTGCATGAGTTAAGAAAAGTACAGAACATGGACCTATATCAAGAAAACTTGGATAACACAAATTGATAAATAATTCAGAATAAAACAAAAAAAAAATACATTCCTTTAGAATCTCATTTTAAAGATTTATCCCAATTCCAAATAAAGAAGTGTTGATAAATTTATATCAAATTTAAGGTAACTCAATATTCATTATATGTAATTTTATTTCAGAGTGTGCCTTCAGTCAGTTTTATTTATTTATGCATATATGTATGCATGGTATGTATGTATGTCTTTATTAGTCTCATGTTATAGAAGAACCTTTACACATCATTACAGAGAGATGATCATATCTAAATAGAAGAAAAATACTTTTATAGTCAAGATTCCGAGACTCAGTGAGCAAAAATTCAAAAACCCTGGCTCATGTATTTTTATCTATATCGTCTACTTAGTGTATAGATTGATTTTAACAGTTAATATTATGTCTCATTAACAGGTTACCTTAAAGTCCCTTTGTCTTGTGGGGAAATACAACACAAGGATTAGAAAAATGCAGCCATGTTTTAAAAATATATGTTTTATTAAAAGATAGCCACAAACATCCTTTTATGTATTATCTATGTCTGCTTTCTAGCTACCACAGCATCAAGTAGTTCCATCAGAGTTGTTTAGCCTACCAACCTTAAAATATTTACTGTTTGACACTTTACAGCAAAACTTGCCAATACCTAACACAACACAATAAAAATGGTCTTTGAGTAAAATAGACTCATGAGAAACTATGTGTTCCAGGTTAAGCTTTATGTTTTATGCTAAGTTTTATAATCCCCAACATGTTTCTTAGGTTAAGCAACTGAATTTTCTCCTCTGAACAAAAGGACTTTCTTTATTTCCCAGTCATCAGGACCTTATTGTGATGTCAGGCATTCAGAATTCTCCACCAAACCTGAAACTAAGCCAGCCCTTAGCATATATAGCATCCCAAGGCAAGAGTTAATTGGAGGCACATATGTGATTCATTAAAAATAATAAATCAAGCCCCCCAAATCATTAAGTATGTTGTATCATCCTATTTTGATAAGTATGCCTTCACAATGACCTAGAAAATCAACCTTGAACTTAAAATTTTCAGACTTTTAAGTTTCTGCACCAAAACATGGCAGTATGTGGAGGACATGGCCTCAGCTCCTCTCTGTGACTCCCCATAGGATTTTCTTCTCCATTCCAATTATTCATGTGCTGCAATAGAGCTGCATGCATGTGGCCATCCCAACACACATGCCTCAGCTCTGTCCACCCATTGTTAGAACATCTCTCCTTGCCCAAACTGGCTGAAAGCCTGGGGTTACATATATGCCCAGTGACATAGGCAGTCCTTGGGGAAACAGAGCAGGGCACCGTGAATTTTGGAAGGAAGTCAGGATATGTTAGCAGGAGATCCCTAAGTTTTAGTTACCTAGAGATTCATCAAGTAGGGGAGCATAGGCTCGGGATGTATCCTTCTCATAACCCAGAGAATTCTTACTCTGTGAAAAAATGAATTAATTTCAGAGATATCAGATGGAGCCCTCTAAAAATCTCTCTCCTTAGAACCAGCAGCATTAGCATCTCCTAAAACAGTAGTTCCCAACCTGGGGTGATTTTGTACTCTAGAAGACATCTGACAATACCTGGAGCTGCTTTTGATTGTCGCAACTGCTTAGGCAAGAGTTAGTCGCGTAGAAGCCAGAAGTGCTGCTAAAAAAATCTACAGTACATAAGAGCTGTCCCCCAAACAATCAGTTGGTCCAAAATGCTAGTGGTGCAGAGCTTAAGAAACATTCACCAAAGATTTCATAAAAAATGCAGAAGCTCAAGCCCACCTCAGACCTACTGGACCAGAATCTGAATTTTAAGCAGATCTGTAAGTATGCACATTAAAGTTTGAGAAGAACTGCTCTGAAGCATGGGTTGGAGGCAGAGGCTCTTCTTGCCCTATGAGATGTAGTGCTTTTTGGAACAGGCAACTTGTTTATACTCTTGTAAGACTTTTGATGCTGGTGTTTGCTGTTATGAATTTCCCTCATTCCAATACTAGTTTTCCCCTTATTGGTTTACTACTTTTACAAGAGTCAGAAAAGTCAGGTATATCTTCTATTTCTATTATTTCATAAGGAGTATAGATATCAAGTTAAATCTATAAGAATATTTTTGAAGGATATTTTAAAGGTTACATCACAAAAGCTCAGAATTCCTAATCAGTTGTCTCAGACTTTAAATCATTAAAATTATCTCAAACTGAATTCTCCTGGTTTCCTTGACTCATATCCTGAGTTTTACAAATTGGATAAAAATACTTCACAGATGAAATACCTCATAGCATTTTTAGAGGATTTCATTATCTGAATAAGGCAGAGGCTTCCGGGAGTAGATGTTAAATGTCTGGCCTCTCCTAACATGACTCATTTACTTATAATACCAGCTGCATTTCTCAGCCAAGACATGCTGTGGAATGAATGAAATAGAATTTAATTTTAAAATTTAGTCTGAATACTTTAATTGATTGATAGGAAAAACATGTTTGTATTTAGGTTGATTCTTGTTTTATCCATGCATAGACAATGTAAGTTCTTTCAGTTTAAAGGACAGAAGGAGGGGTGAGATGTTTGTTGCATACACAAGAAGACTTTTTCCAGACAGTAAAATAATGAGAGGACACTATACAATGTTTACAAAGAGACCTCATATTTACCATTTTCTCGTCTACAATCATATTGTAAAGAAGGAAGGTTTTATATTTAGCACACTTAGTTTTCCTATTCTCGTGTGTACCCCCGACATCATGAGCTTCCTTAAGGTATACCATCATTGGCAAGAAAAAAAAATATTATTATCAACTTGTGTTGAATGGACAAATGAATGTAAGGTTGAAGGATAATACAGAGTTTTGTTGAGGCTTTTGTGGCCCTTGAATTATCCAGTGTAGAACGTCACTTATTCTACCTGTTCATTAGGGCTAATGCTTCTGGCATCCTTAACCGTTATTCTTTTCTCAGTATTCTATAATCAACTGCTTAGAAGGATATTTCCAGGGAGGTGTATTTCTGTAACCTTTGAAAACAACATACCTGCCTGCTTATTTTCCAACCACTACTCAATCATGACGCTGTTTTAAAGCTGTACAATTCTTGACTTACATGAAGAAGGCTTCAGTGAGTCATCCATTGGTGCTCTAGTGAGACAACCCAGCATCTGAGATTCCCCATCGAGTGACTCTTAATGATATGACAGCCCTGGCCTTTACCCCCAGATCTAATCATTGAGCCTTTTATTCATTCCCAAGAATTTTACTTTGCTTAGATTTTTAAATCTTATTTCCAGCAAGACTTTCTAGTTACCAGTGGCTGTAGCTAAGAACACGTTTTTTTGCTGGTAGATAGGGAATGTTGGTTCTGTCAGATGGATTCCTTTATTAACTAGGCTTGAATCTGTCTTCTCCTACTTGATTACTTGATTTAATTAGGTAGATTATAGCCTAAAAATATCACTGCATACACACACACACACACACACACACACACACACACACACACACGTATAGGTATATTCACAAAAATCTGCTTTATTGACTTGGGAGGCTGAGGCAGAAGGATCTCTTAACCCAGAAATTTGAGGCTGCCTGAGCTATGATCACACTACTGCACTCTAGCCTGGACAACAGAGCAAGATCCTGCTTCTAAATAAATAATAAATAAAAATAAAAATAGAATAATTTGCTTTATGAAGTGATTTTATATAAGATTATATATTTTTATAGAGTTACTGTGGTCAGATACACTCTTTTTTCTAGTTTTTCTGTTAAAGGATTAATGTTTCTTGACATAGGTTTGAGTGTTAGAGTCATCAAGGGAATTTGAAAATTAGCATGTGGTTGACAGAAAAGCAATATTCATATAGTAACTTTTAACATGGTTTTAAACATTTATAAAATAGCTAGTATCCTTTTTCTAAATAAATAGGAGGTGGCATTAATCAGCCCTACTAAATTGTGCTTATACTAAGAATCCTAAGTTTGCAAGATAACACATATATAATGGATTATACATTGTTATTTTTCATGCTGAGTTTGTTGCTATTGTCTCTGTCATTTTTCTCTATTTATGTATCTTAAGAGATAATGAGGGCAGATTACCTTAAAAACCTGTTGAAACTTAAAAAAGAAACTTATAAAGGTACAGTAATCATGTGGTTGTAGATTATAGGAATAAATTTATATGAGGCTTTCTTTCTATATATATCAAACTTAAGATTTTAAAATGTGGCTAAGGAAGTTGAAGATAAAAATTAAAATAAATAGACCATCTTGAGACAGTGTCTTTTAAAATAATATCAAGAAGCAATTAATTAGCAAAACAAACAAATAACAACAACAATCTGTAATCTGTGGGGAAGAAATCTTGGAATTAA